ACAGTGGAATGAGAATAAGTTTTAAAGTCAGATAGACATCGTTTGAATCCACCCTCTATCACTTATTTGCTGTATGATCATGGGCAAGTTATTTAACCTCTCTGCATCAGGCTCTTCATTTATAAATCAAAGTTGGTAATACCCACCTCTCAGTGCTTTTGTGAGAATTCATTGAAATAATGTACTTGAAAGGGACTAGCATAGTGGTACCCATAAATACGAATTCCTTTCATTGACTGTCTATTCCATCTCTCCAAGCTTTTTGTTTGGTTTGGTTTTTGTTTTCCCCACAGGGCCAGAGTGAGGGGCAAGGAGGAAGGACAGGGAGAAGGAAGAGCACCCTGTAGCGGCCGCACCACCAGTTCAGGGCTTGCCCCCATCTTAGTCATCTAGTGCTGCTATAACAGAAATACCACAAGTGGATGGCTTTAACAAAGAGAAATTTATTCTCTCACAGTCTAATAGGTTACAAGTCCAAATTCAGGCTGTGAGCTCCAGAGGAAGGCTTTCTCTCTCTGTTGGCTCTGGAGAAAGGTCATGTCATCAATCTTCCCTTGGTCTGGGAGCTTCTCTGTGCAGGAACCTCAGATCCAAGCGACGCACTCTGCTCCCGGCACTGCTTTCTTGGTGGCGTGAGGTTCCCATGTGTCTCTGCTCATTTCTCTCTTTTATATTTCAAAAAAGACTGGCTTAAGACACTATCCAATCTTGTATACCTCATCAGCATAACTGCTGCTAATCCATCTTATTAGATCACAGTGATTGAATTTATAACATGTAAGGAAATCACATCAGATTACAAAATGGTACACAATTACACAATACTGGGAATCATGACCCAGCCAAGTTGACAGATATTCTTGTGGGACACGATTCAATCCATGACACCCCCAAAGATGTCATCACCAGGCCCCTGCTTCCTCTTCCCCTTATTACTGGCGTTCTCAGCCCGCTCCCCCAATAGCCTGCACAGTCACAAAAGGCTCCAGAGACTCCCTCATCTGGGCTTTCCTCTGAAATGGCAGTACTCTGACCTGGGTCTTTTCTGACTCCCATAATCCACCATGCCTGGGCTCCTTTACCTGCAAGGCCTAACTGAGAAAGAGACGGAGACTCTAAGGAGGACATGACTTGGCCTGAACCTCGTTCCCACTCCTGCTGGCAGCAACATTCCTTAGAGAAGACCGAAGGGCCATAAGCTTGCCTCAGGACCAAAGGGGTGATGCTCTGTTCCTCTGAGGATGTGGCCAATTGTGCCGTAACAGTATCTCCCATCCCAATGCTTTTCTAACTATGTGACTTTCATGCTCCCCCATCAAGAGGTAGGGACGATGTTCTCCTCCTGTGAATCCAGGGGGGCTTGTGAGTATAGCAGAAATGGCACTATGTGCCCCCCCCCAGCTGGGACAGCTTCTGCCTGGTTCTCCTCCCTTACCGTCATTCTCACCAGCATGGCACAGAGAAGCTCAGAGCTCAAAGGTCCAAGAAAGCTGGAGACAGAACAGCAACTAGGACCACGTCTCTTGCCTCTCCACCCACACTGTGCCCCCACACTGTGCCCTGAATGGAGAGGCAGAGCCCAATGTTCCAATTCCCACTCCCACAGCCTGCCCCTCCCCCATGTGGTTCCTGCCCTAAACCTCTTAGGGCCACGATGTTGAACAGATGACCTGTACCCAGAGTCAGAAGGGAAAATGGACTGCCTTCCTTGGACAATGCTGCTGTTTTAGCTACTGTTCAGTGACAGTTGTCCTCCCCGAGTGGGATGTGGTCCTGGAGTTGGGTCCTCCCACCCTCTCTTCCAAGTGCATGCCTCAGTACAAGTGAAGAAACTCTGGCCTTCCTCTGACCCTGGATTCCTACTGCATGCACCTTCCCAAGGAAACGGAATAGAAGAAATACTACTTTCCCGTGGTAGGCTAGGTTTTATATCTCAGTCAGAACACTGGTGTTTCATTCCAGGGGGAGACAGAGACAGAGAGACAGAGGTAAAGTGACACAGAGTTGCTGAGAGCCCCTGAGACAGAGACAGACTCATGGAAAACACAGCCCAGTGGAATCCACAATGCCAGGTAGCATCAGAAGCATAGCTTGGGACCTTATTAGCAGCAAAGCGCGGATAACTGGAGTGCTTTCTGGTATTCCAGAAATAAATCCCCTTGAATGGAGACAGTTCCAGTCCATCTAATATAAAATCATCTGCTGGAGTGGCTGATTCTAGCATGAGATTTCCTTGAAAAACATACAATATCTGGGAGAGGCTCATTCTAGGTTTTATTTTTTTTTTCTGGTGGAGAACTTGAAGGCAGTTCCAAGCAACCACACGTGCCTCCCTCTATAGCTGACCCAGCGATAGAACATTCCCACTGCAGGCCTGTGTTGATTGTTTTTTCTGTTCTGCAGTGAAGGCCCTTCTCACCCACAGTGACCCAACAGATGCTAATTTTCCAGAGTCACACCCTTCTACTCTTGGGAAGGAATGAGTGAAACCCAGGCAGGAGACAATCCTTTCCGTTTCTTCATAAAAATTACTTGAGGGCACAGTTCTGAAAAAGTCATCATGCCGCATCTCAGGAAGAAATTTCCATCATCCTTCATGACACGTCATCCTAGCTATTCAAAGGATGGTAGCTTACGTCATTTCCAAATAGCCTCCAAAGATTTGGGCTATCAACCCATGGTGCCATCTCCTTGCTAGAATACTAGAATGTCAAAGATGGAAATGCTTCAAGAGATAATCTAAGCCAGAGGATACAAATTCAGAAGCTTACAGGAAGCAGATAGGTTAAGTAATGGACAACGTAAGTCAGGCGGGGACTGTTGTGGCTCAGAGAGTTAATACCCCATCTAAGGGAATAAAATTCAAAGACATTGAAGTCACAGGTCTGTTTGACCCCAAATCCCACGTACTTTTCCCTGAAGCCAAGTATATTTTTCTGTGGATGCCATAACAAATTACCATAAATTTGGTGATTTACAGCAGAAATTTATTCTTTCACAGTTATGGAGGCCAGAAGTCCAAAATCAGGGTATCAGCAAGGCCACACGCTGGCAAAGGCTCTCGGGGAGAATCCTTCCTTGCTTCTGGTGGCTCCCGGCATTCCTTGGCTTGTGGCTGCATAACTCCAATCTCTGTCTTCACATAGCTTCTCCTCTTCTGTCTGTGTAGTCTCCCTCTGCCTCGCCCTCATTAGGACACTTGTCATTGGATTTGGGGCCTACCGAGATAATCCAAATGATCTCACTTGAGATCCTGAATTCAATTACCTCTGCAAAGACCTTTTGGCCAAATAAGGTCACATTCTCAGGTTCTGGGGATTACAACATGGAGATATCTTTTTGGCGGCCACCATCCAACCCATCTCACCAGACAGACTAGCGTGTAGTGAAAACAGAATAAATGAGCCACACCAGGACCCACAGGTGAATCTCAGCAATGTAATCCCTTGTCTGTTTTCTAAAAGTAATTTGCATCCACATTTGTTGTCAGCTGAGTCTTTCCTTAAAACCTGTGCCTGACATCAGTGGTAGGCATGTGCTACCCAAGAATGCAGACTACCTAGAATGGCTACAGTCTTCATTCACATTCTTCTTTGACTTCAGCAGCCCTCATCACTTTTCCTTCTTCTTTCTCCTTTCCGTCCACTCTCTCCCCATCCCAGTGCTATCAGGACTGTCTCTTCCTCATTCCAGAAGTGCTCCTAATTGCTTTCTTGCAGTACCATTGTAATTGTCTCTGTCTTGATTCTCTAACTCAGCGGTTCTTAAATTTTAGTGTTCATCAGAATCACCTGGAAGAATTGTTAAACCATGACTTAGTGGGCTCCATCCCCAGGGTTTCTGATTCAGTAGGTCTGGGTGGGGCTAGGTTCCTGGCTGGCACATACAGTTTGTGCTATACTAGTAACCAAAAGGAGCCCTGGTGGTGCAGTGGTTAAGAGCTCGGCTGCTAACCAAAAGGTTGGCAGTTTGAATCCCCCAGCCACTCCTTGGAAACTCTATGGGGCAATTCTACTCTGTCCTATAGGGTCACTATGAGTCGGAATCAACCCAACGACCATGGGTAGTAACTGAAAGGTTGGCACTTCGAACCCACCTAGTAGCACTGTGGAAGAAGACTGGCGATCTGTTTCCATAAAGATTACAGCCAAGAAAACTCTATGGAACTCAGTCCTATTCTGTAACACATGGGGTCCCCATGAGTCAGAACGACTCAGTGGCAACGGTTTGGATTTTGGGGGTAGGGCTAGAGAATTTGCATTCTTAACAAGTTCCCAGGTGATGCTGATACTCCTGGTCCAGGGACCACAATGGCAAAACATGGCTCTATCTCAGCCCCATTCTCCTTGCTCTTCTGGTAGTTTTCACTTCTTATTGTTTTCCCGTTACTACTTCTGCCTCACTATCCACCTTCCTGTACACTCTGCAGTTGCTTACTCAATCCCATCAGTTGGAGCTCTCTCTATACAGCTGGAGTCACAATTGATTTTGTTTTCATCCTACACCATAGACTCCCACCTAACCATTTCATATCTTTGATGCTGGTCAAACACCTTTCCTCTATTCCTCCACCTTCTGATTTACCCAATTCGAAACTGAAGAAACCCAGGCGACTAGGACTTATAATCAGGAAACAGGAAAATCTAGTCCCAAGGTGGGGAGGTGGCGGCCTTGGTGACAATATTCTAAATGGGCTAGTAAAGTGGGTGGTTAGGAGTTGGCTCCAGTCTGGCCTGGGACGATTACAGAGAAAAGAGCCAACCTTATCTCCACCCACCCATCCACCCACGCTCCTTTTGTCCTCACTAGACCCACGTGCCCCCGAGGACTGCAAGTCCTCTCTGGGGTGAGTCTCCAGATAGCAGCAGACTGTCTTCCCAGGACATTGAGCAAGACTTGGTGAAGTATTTCCAACATTCATGCACTCCCCGACAGCCTGCAAGACTTTTTTCTAAGGAATTTCATCACACATAACTAGTGCTTTGTTCCGATGTGAATGAGGGTTTGTCTGGGTGCCAGTGTTTCGCCATACAGGAGATTAGTAAACATGAGCTGAAGCCTCTTAGCAGTCACATTTCAGTGTTAATGATCTTTCTTCATACTATGAAAAAATGTCAAGCCACTCTAGAAAAGAAATGAGAGGGGTGTCAGGCCCACTTTAAGATCTAATGAATCAAGACAATCTGCTATAAAAATCTTTTTTTTAATGTCGAGTACCTACTGTCAGTATTGCTAAAGGTGGGCGGGGCTAAGCTTGGGCTATGTACTTTAGTCAGAGCCCCGCTAATGGTGTGTCGACACTCAAAAGGTCCTCACAGTTTCCCCGTATGACCTCGAAAAGGGGATTTTTTAAACGAGAGGTTAAGTGCTAACTGGAATCTTTCACATATAGCTTTATGTCCCAAATGAATAATTGACTTCTCAGTGAATGGATCAGTAACCCAAGTGGAAGGGAGGGACTACCTGGGTTTTGGGTTAACTAAACACACAGGCCAGCTGAGGTTGGGTTGGCAGGTCTTTTGCTCAGACAGGATTGTCCCATATCTCAGTTCTTTGGTCACAGAAAGTTTTATTGAAGTACCATTTAGTAAATGATTAAGGTATCATTTAAACCATTTATCACATTTCACTGAATCAAAGATGCATGTTTTTCCTCATTTTAATATCTGTGAAGTTAGTTGCATCTGACAGTTCATGGTGTTCAGAATTAACTGACAAGCTTTTTTTTTTTTTTTAAATTAGTGCTACATAAAGTAATGGTAAGGGGCCCTGGTGGCACAATGGATAAGCACTTGACTGCTACCCGAAAGGTTGGTAGTTAGAACTCACCCAGCAGTTCTGTGGAGAAAGAGCTGCCGATCTGCTTTCATAAAGGTTACAGCCATGAAAACTGTATGAGGCAGTTCTACTCCATCCTGTGGGGTTGCTGAGAGTTGGAATCAACTCTATGATAACCAGCAACAACAACAAAGTAATGGTGCACCTTGCAATGGATGACGTCTTGGATTCAGTGAATTATGATAGAATTTGTAACATTCCATTGAACCGGGTACTATTCTTATATCTACTTTACAAATTAGGAAACTGAGGTGGACAGGTTAGGCAATTTGCCAAGAACAACCAGCCAGTAAGTAGTGGAGCTGGGTTTCAAACCCAGTCAGTCTGACTTCCATGCCTACCATCTGAACCCTGTGTTGTACGGCCTCATGGGTTTGCTAAGAGGCTAAATGAGTTAGCACATATAAGGCACTTATTTGTGCCTAGAATAGAGTAAGTGCCAAATAAATGTAAGCAATTATTATTTCTTACTTAAGGAAATCATAATTGGCATATCTGTATAAGTCACAGTGTACTGAACACGGGCTCCTGAGTGCAGGGCCATCCCTACATCGATGTGTGGCCCTGATGTCTCCCCTTCATGAGCAAACGTTTTCTGTCTTGTAAAATATCATGAATGTTTGCCCATTTGTTCCTTCAACCTGAAGGTACGTTTTCCAACCATCTACCATAAAAAAGTTTTTATGAACTTGTACAGAACAAGAAGGACTTAAGAATATTTTAGTTTGGTTGTTCAGGAAAAGAAATGGGGATGTCAGTAAGGGGAAGTGGGAAGCAATAGATGAGGACTTTAGTTTCCCAGGTGTTGAATTAGGTGGTTTGGGGCCAGCCAAATGGGCTGTGAGTGTGTGGGCCTGGGGGGCAGTGAGACCTGCAAGGGCAAGCTCTGGAGCCATCCCAGGGAGCAGGCGCCGCCATTGTGGTGAACCTTCCAAAGGTAGCCTGGGAGGGGAACCATCTCTTAAAGGAAGGGTACTCTACAGACTGAACGAAGGTCCTCAGACTTCACCACGGGGAAGAACCACTGGGGGAGCTTGTATTAATGCAGATTTCTAGGCCACATCCCATACAGAATCAGAATGAAAGGCTCAGGAGTTTGCATGTTTAACGTATTCTCCAAGTGATTCTTTTGCACGTAGTCTGAACACCACAACTCGAGAATCCTCAGCCCATGGCAGTAGGGGTGAGAATGCAGGCAGTGTGTTTGCTAAGTCACCAGCCCTTTTCTGCCCTCTCCCACCTCCCTCTTTATTTGCTGGCCATATTGCATATGCCTCAGCTGCTGTGTTGATTGTAAGCACTGGCTGGCTGTGCCACCTCCTTCTCCCCTTGCCAACCCTGTCCCCACAGTACTAGCTGTCTGGCCCTCCCAGCAAAGTAGGCTTTGGCTACCTAGGCTTGGGTGTGCCCACCACCCTACTTCCTGTGCACAGTGGTTACTGCCAGGAATGTCAGTCTGATTCCATGAACAACTCCCTTCCTCTCCTCCGTCACAACCCCAAATTCCCAAAATCCTTTTCTTTGTCCCTGAAAGACCAGACTCAAGGGTTCTACATTTTATCACAAGAGCAATTATAACTTAAGCTAAAGAATTCTGTGGGCTCATCTAGCCAGGTCACCTGTTTGAGTGAATCACAGCCACCAGTCAGTAGAGCAAACATAAAGGGAGGGCTAAGAGAGAGCCACAAGCAAACACAGGTAAGTTATTTATCTGAAGTTTCCCAGGGTTCATGTGTTCAGACCTCAGAACAAGTTCAGTAACTGGCTCAGTGCTGCAGCCTGTAGCCGACGATACACAATGTCTGAGAAGGAGTAAACTGACTCTACTCTGTTTCTTCTCCACCAGCCCACAAGATTCAGCCAGGTCTGTAGCCCACTTCTCAGAGACTACCATAATCTCCACGCATTCTATAGCTGGTAGTAAAGGACAGAGAGGGAGGTTGTAACTATCATTGTTTGCCACTGGGCTAGCATCAGAGCGATAAACCCAAAATACAATGCTCAGCACCCTACTCAATATACATTATCTCATAAATGCCTGGGGGCATTATAAGGCTCAAGAACAGTATTTGTTCATTAATTTCAGTGAACATAAGGTAAAGGAGTTAAGTCTTTCCCTTATCACTGATTTGAGGTTGAATTCATCCAACATCACTGTCTTAGGCTGGATTCTCTAGAAAAGTAAAACCAGTAAAGCATACAAATATATATAGAGAGAGAGATTTATATCCAAGAAATGGCTCATGCCGTTGTAGAGGCTGGAATGTCCCAAGTCCACGGGTCAGGATAGAAGCTTCTCCTGATTCATGTAGCCACAGGGGCTGGCAAACCCAAGATCGGCAGGTCAGAGAGCAAGGCTCTTGCTCACGGGCTGCAAAAATCAATGAATCCCAAGATCAGCAGGCAAGACTGCAGCTAAGCTGCTAGCTCAAGTCCCAAGAACCAGAGGCCAGACGAATAGGAGCCAGCTGCAGGATCCAGAGCAAGTAAAAGCCCACGAGCCCTGCCCGAATGTCCACTTACATTTGATGCAGGCCACACGCCCAAGGAAACTCCCTTTCAACTGACTGGCTACTCACAGAAGATCGCATCGAGGAGGTGATCACATTACAGAAAATCTCATCATGGAAGTAATCACAACATCATACAACTGTCAAACCACTGATAATCATGGCCCAGTCAAGTTGACACACAAACTTAACCATCACAGTCATCTAAAGGAATCACAGAAGCTCCTCTACCTACAAATGTCAACATTCAAACACTCATGTACAAAGTGTCACTCGGAGCAATGTCCTGCCACTCTGTGACACTAGCGATCATGTAAGGTTATTTCATTTTCCGACATTGGCTCAGGCCACTGTAACTTGATTTGCTTATTTTCATTCATTCAACAAAGATTCAGTGAGCACACACTACATGCCAGGCACTATTCTAGATGTGTGGGATACACAACAAACAAACCAGACAAAAATCCCTGCCCTCGTGGAGGTTATAATCCAGGCAGGGGTGAGGGTGGGAGTGGGGAGACAGATAATAACTAAATTATACAATATCTTAAAAGGAGGTAAGGGCTATGGAAACAAAATAGAACAAGTAAGGGGGATGGGGTGAGCAAGGTGGCAATAGCATGAAATTTCACATAGCATTGTCAGGGCTGGCCTCATAGGAAGGCAACATTTGAGGGAAAGCTTGAAGGACATGAGGGAATTAGTTATGAATATCTAGAGAACAACGTTCCAGGTAGAAGGAACAGCCAGTGAAGGGATCCTGAAGCAACAGAGTGCCTGGTGTGCTCAAGGAATAGCAAGGATGTCAATTTGGCAACAGCAGCAGTAAGGGGATGAGAGTAAGGGATGAGGTCAGACAGGTGACAGAGGGGGGAAATCAACAAAGCTTTGTGGGCCCTGGCTTTTACTCTGAGTGGAATGGGGAGCCCCTGGCAGAGAGGAGACAAGATCTGACATACATTTTATTTTACTTATTTTGTTGTGTTTTAGATGAAAGTTTACATAGTAAATTAGGTTCCCATTTAACAATTTCTACACATCTTGCTCCATGACATTGGTGACATTTTTCATAGTGTGTCAACATTCTCATTATTTCCATTCTTTTTGTTGTTTCCATTAATCTAGCTTCCCTGCCTCTCCTTAGATTCTCGTCTTTGTTTTAGGGTAAATAATGACCATTTGACTTCATACAGTTGATTATTTAAGGAAGCACAGTACTCACAGGTGATATTGTTTATTTTATAAGCCAACCTATTATTTGGATGAAAGGGGACCACCGGGAGTGGCTTCAGTTCCAAGTTCAAAGGGTATCTTAGGGCGATAGTCCGGAGGTTCCTCTAGTCTCTATCAATCCAGTAAGCCTGGCCTTTTTTTTTTTTTTAGGTATTTGAGTTTTGTTTTACATTTTTCTCCCTTTCTATCTGGGACCTTCTATTTTGTCCCTGGTCAGAACAGTCGGTGGTGGTAGCCAGGCACCATCTAGTTCTTCTGGTGTCAGGCTAGATCAGGCCGTGGTTCATGTGGGCTATTAATCCTGTGGACTGGTTTCTTCTTTGAGTCTTTCATTTCCTTCATTCTCTTTTGTTCCAGAGGAGTAGAGATCAATAGTTGTATTTTACGTGGCCACTTGCAAACTTTTAAGACTCTAGACGCTACTCACCAAACTAGGGTGTAGGACATTGTCTTTATGAATATCTTTTGCCAATTGATTGAGTTCTGTCATGAGACTATGCTGACTTACATTTTAAAAGTACTTCTCTGGCTGCTGTGATTGTT